CAATTTAGACTGTAGTTTTCTATTGAGACAAGCCCATTTATTTTGAATTATACATATTAATGATATAAAAAAATATGTGTTTAGCATAATTGATGATATCTATAAAATATTGTTGAATCCTAGACTTGCTATAAATTATCTATTGGGCTTCATCTGCCCTAAGTCCAGTGGTTATTGTTAATCTCACTGTTGTTTTGTTTGGACAAGCATTTTTTTTAAAAAAAATATTTATTTATAAAGGGAAAAGGGGGGAAGGTTTTCATTTAGTGAAAAAATTGTAATAAAAAATTAGGCCCATTACAAACATAGCTAATATAAGCTAGTAGTATTTATTCATTATATAAACTTACAACAAACACACTGCATAACTTATTCATTCATGTTTTCCTTTGCATCCAAATTACCACCACTTTTGTTGACAATATTTGGTAAGATTTGATCCTTAAAATTCTCTAATTGAACACATCCAAGTGCCAATATCATCATTACCTTGATCCTTCTAATTACCAGCAACCATGTTACCTACCCTAAGTGCATCTTCTCCTATAGGCTAGCCCCAATTGGCCCAAAAAATTAAAGGATGAACAAAAAAAAAAGAATATTTTAATATTTAGAATTATGGCTTGGCCTGAATACTCGAATAAAAAATAATTTTTTTATAAAATATAAAATATAATAAATATTAATTAATTTTTTAAGTGTTATGTTATTTTATACTAAAATACCATATATTTGAGTGCATTAATATAGTTATTTTTAAAAAAATTAAAAATATTTATATTTTCATATTTTTATTATTTTTAATCAAGAAAATATCTCAAAATAATATTTAAAATATATTTTAATATTTATTTTTATATTTTAAGATCCAATTTTTTTAAAAAAAAGTTGAGTCATTTATATCATTTTCTTATCCAAAAAAATATATTTTTTATTTTTTATAAAATAATATAATTAATTTTAAAGTAAAAATAAAATTAAAAATAATTTAAAAAATAAAATTTAGGCATCTACGAATTTTTGGCTCTACTACTAGATAAACATAATAAATAGAACAATATTCTTGAATAATAATTTAGTTATTGTCCATGTCAGACTTAGTTAAAAATTAAGAATAAATTAAAGTAAATACACCTTGTATGTAGAGGTAAAACAATATAAAAAGTTAAAAAAATAATTTTAAAAAAGTATTTTACTTATAATTAAATAATTTTTTATATAATATAATGATGATTATTTTTCTTATATTCTTAAAAATGAAAAGTACAGTATACCTAAAAATTATTAAAAATTTTGATCTAATTGAAACAATAATTTTAAGTTAATGGTCTAACTGTGGTTGAATTGAGATTAACTTGATTATAATTAAAATAATTTAATTTAATTAAAATATATAAAATATTTATATATGATCATAATAAAAGCAATATTTAAATAAATAAGACATTAATTTACGAGTAAAAGAAACATTCATGAATAAATTACACATAATACAACAAAACAATAACATAGCTACTTAAATACAAAGTTGATAAGTTATTATTTTTTATTTTTTTCCTTTTAAATTTAAAATAATATTTTATATTTAATAGAATTATTTAAAAATTAAAATTATTAAAATAAAAAATATTTTTAAAAAGTTTCAAGCATTCGAGCCGACCCCAATAAGCTTGAAACCCTAAAGTATTCAAATTAGGCTTGGCTATATGGGCTTTTTAGAAATAGTAGGATAATTTAAGCCTCATGTAAATAAGCTAACCTGAATTAAGCCTAACTTGAATAAGCCCATCCCACCTGAATTATCAGCTCTACCAATGTGTCATTACCTTGATCCTTCACATTATGAGTTTTGGAAGCATTTGCAACACCATCACCACTCCTACCTATCCTATTGTCAACACCAACATTATCTCTATCTTTGACACAACTTTATCTACCATGTCAACCTTGTCTCGACCTTTAGCCACAACGTCGTTCTCAGCACCCACATTATCTCCAACTTTAGCTCTAACATTATCCACAATCCTTTCCATAGCCTCACCATGTTCAATAGTTACAACAACCTTTAGACCTTTAGTGACATCTTTATTAAGTAGATAAAAGGTTGTGATGCTTTATTACAGCATTAATCACTCTCCTTAATGTCAACAGTGTTTATGATGTGTGGTATCACTTGTGTTAACATGTTAAAAATTTAGTAAATTACTCCTCATCCATATAATATAAGTATGCAAGCAACTCATAATCGCAATTCTTTAAGATGTTCTCAATTTTGTTGAAGAAGATTTATTTTAGGATTATATTTATTTAGTGGGACATTTATAACTAATTATATGCCACAATACAATCACAAGCAGATGAACATATGGGCAATGCATAAGTATACAAAAGGCATGAAGAGGCATAACAACATTAGAGTGCTAACCTTTTTTAATAGATTTGGCTTTCCTAAAGTTGGTATCAAGCTTTTCATACTCTGAAGAAAACTTTTTGCAAGGATGGGCGTTAAAGGAAAGGAAGGTATTGTAAAGCCATCCCTTAATCACTCCACTTTTCTGATCATTCTTAACCTTATCCGACCAAGTCTTCACTCACACCACTAAATGCTCCTCCATCAACGCTGTCCATCGTAGCCATGCTCAACTTTCCCCCGTCGATTATCATCTCTTTAGTTCTTCTATTAGGGATTGTCACAATGTTTTTTCTTTAAAAAATTGTTCGTTTAAACAGAGGGGCAATTTGGCCAATTTATTAGAGGCTTTTCTAAATATTATAATAAGTTTGGTCCCTCAGCATAATTTGCCTTTCAAGGAAGTCTTTTATAGCAATTTTTCCTTTAATAGATTTCCCAAGCAATCTATATATTGACAAAAAAACATAGTCATAAATAATTAGCTTGTAATTTACTACTAACTTTTGTAAATTTCCAACTAATGTTGTAAATAATCCCTTGCGTATTTGCTTAATTTTTTTAAGCGTTTTATTTGTATACTAATAGCAAAAAATTGAGATTCATAACAAACTTTCATAAATTTTTAACTGACATTACAAATAATTCTAAGTGTATTTAGAAAATTTTTCAATTGACTATTCACATTTTTTTAAGAGTAAGATTTATATACTTGACTTTATATATTTAATATACTTATACTCTATCAAATTATGAAAAGTAAATTTTAACACGTTAACAAAATAATAACAAGAATTTATTAAAAAAATAAATAATCTATATAAGATTCACATGTTTTAATGTAATTGAAAATAAGTAAATTAAATATATAAATTTTTTCCTCTTTTTAATTGTAAGGAAGAACTATAGCCTATTATTGAAATTTTAATAATTCAAGATTTATAATTATCATTAATATTCTCATGGGATTTTTAATTATCATGTTCCCTGATATTATATATCAATATAAGGGTGTTTTTGCTATTTTAACATTTGCTCATTTTCCTTCCTCTTTATTTTTTCTTGCCAATCCAAATGAAATGAATGATAATATTATATCTTTAATTTTATCTTCATTTTATTTTTTCTCCTCCATTTTTCTTCTCTCTCAGCTTTTCTCTTCATCTAAAAGGAAGATGCTAATGTCAAACAAAACAAGCAGAGCAAGTTGTAGGCTGAGAGTTTAGAGATGAACAATGATCTCATCAGACTGTATCCTCAATTAAGTCTTCTTGGGTTACAATACATGTTAATTCGTAATTTTCTACATCATTAACGAGTCCATGGGAATCTCTTGGGCCAGCATTTTTTCTCGAAAGAAGGCAGACTCCTCCTATTCAAATTTTACAAATACACAATAACCAGCCTAAATGCCTCAAGTAGTTCATGTATTCACTTGTTAATTCAATGATTCTTTTGGCGATAATTCTTGATCTTTGGTGCATTTGTCAGTTGATACAAGAACAAGGAGGTTAGGGTGTAATGTAACTACTGGGGCACTGAAATATATTTTGAGCCCAGGCCCAGATAGGAAAAAGGAACATACCCAGCACACACTTATCTGTTTATACATAGGCTTCTGTGCGTTGGTTAAAAATCCATAGCCTTGGGAGGCTTTGACACTGATGTTTATGGGGTGCATGGGAAATTCAGAGGGGCTTGTTGCTATAAAGTCTGTTGAAATTTAGAGAGGCCTGTTGTTTCAAAGTAAATACAAATTAAATTACCTTTAAATTTTTTCCCTAACTCTCGAATTAACTCACAGGAAGACCAAGGATATAATACAATGTATTGGAAGTTTTGTATTTTTTTTTCATTGAGATTTCTATCTTAATTGGGTGAGAGTATTTAGGTATATTTGGCAAAGGTTTTCTTCTTCACTACTGAACATTCTTATATGAATTAATAGGCTAGTAGATACATCAAAAATTTGTTGTGTGTATTTATGACTGAGCTAATCCAAACACCAACAATATATGCTCCATAAAAAGGAAAAGAAATATACGTAGGAGCATAAATGCAGAATAATACTCCTATGAGATAAAAAATAAAATAACAACTAAGAAGAGAACCAACTCTAATTTAAATAATATGAACTAGTTCAAGCTGTGATGACAAAGTGTGGTTGAGATCTAGCTCTCAATTTACAAGATACATAGATATTTTCATTTATTTAAAAAAACAAAGAAATAAAGAAAAGAAAATTAAAAGGTGGAGATTATACAAGGTTTGGAAAGGAATAGCTCACTTTCTATATTGGAGCAGTTGATAAGCACAAATTACTCTTGTTCTACCTTAGTAGGAGCAACACATGAAAAGTGTTGATGCTTCTCCTCTCAACCTTGAAAAGAAGGCTAAAGACGCATGAGTAACACAAGTTTCCATCTAAAACTTCCCCTAATTGATGCATCATGCTTGTTTCATTCAATACAAGAATCTAACTTTTCCAAGCAACTTGTATCGTCCCTCCTCACACATTTGATATCTCATTATAAGACTCATTAAAATATTTATTTAACATAAATCTAATCATGAAGAAAAGCATGATTGAGAAACAACTATCACCTGAGAATTCAAGTGATGCATCAAGCAACATTAGTCTCTCCATAAATGACAAGGAGATTGGTTGCACTAATGCAATGCCCAATTCTAAGCAACAATATATTCTGGTGAACAACTATACTCTCCACAGCTCACCTATCAAACTTGACCTGAATTATGTTCGCATGGTAAGAAAATAGCCATTACTAGCCCACACTTTTAAATATGTGACAGCTTTATCAATATTTGTTTTTCTAAAATGTAGGCCGTGGCAGAAATGGTGGGTACTTTCATTCTGATGTTCTGTGTGTGTGGAATCATTGCAAGCACACAATTGCAAAATGGACAAGTAGGCCTCCTAGAGTATGCAGCTACAGCAGGATTAACAGTTATTGTGGCAATCTTCTCAATAGGGCCAATCTCTTGTGCCCACGTTAACCCAGCTGCCACAATAGCTTTTGCAACATTCGGTCAATTTCCATGGTTGAAGGTCCTCAAGAAACAAGAGCGCAATCAATTAATATACTTCAAGCATAATTGTTATATTAGCTAATAACTTCATATCTTTCTCGTTCTTCTTGAACAGGTTCCAATTTATATACTCGCCCAAACAATGGGTTCTGTGTTGGCAACATATATTGGTAGCCTCGTCTATGGCATTAGATCAGATGCCATGATGACAAGGCCAATCCAAGGACCTATCTCTACCTTTTGGGTGGAGCTTATTGCAACTTTCATCATAATGTTCCTGGTTGCAGCCTTGACAAGTGAACTTCAATCAGTAAGAAAATATATAATTCTGCCTTCATATTGCATCAATCATGCCCCATAATTTCAATTTCTCTTAGATTTTTAGGGTTGGAAGTTTTGAAAATCTCTAAAATTGCAAAATTCACAGGCTTAAATTATATGCAATTCAACTTCCACAATTTGATAAAATTCTTTGATAGAATTAGAATAGTTAATCACTCTAAAGAAATAGGCATTTTTTATATTCTTGTTTTAGCCCTTAATTGGGTTTGGGGGTCCTATTTTGAACTATAACTTGGCTAAGTTAGAAGGCAAATTGTATCTTTTACCTTCACACATTAGAATTAGAAGTAATACAAAAGAACGTAATTTGGGCTTCACCTTTGTCTGTGTAAAAGATCTAGGTTAACTTGAAGGTGAGAATTCAAATTCAAAGCCCATTCTAAAGGCCAGGATTGGGATTGAGCCATTCAGGTGCAATCTAGGGACTAGGTCTTGGGTCTAGTTCATGTTCAAGTTCCAACTTCCAAATAATAGTACACTAACCACGGTGAAGAAAAGCAAAATCTCTTGGTTAAAACTCAATACATTTTGCAGGTGGGTCATTTATCTGGTTTTGTTGTTGGAATAGCTATTGGACTTGCAGTGTTGATCACCGGGTATTATCTGCAAACCCCATGGATTTTTATTTTCTTACAGAACGCTTTTGCAAAAAGCAAGGTCACATAAGCCTGTCTCTTGAATTAATTGCTCTTGATTTTGTTGCAGACCTGTTTCAGGGGGATCAATGAATCCTGCAAGATCATTAGGCCCAGCAATTCTGTCATGGAAATTCAAGGACATATGGATATACATCACAGCCCCCATAAGTGGAGATGTAGCAGGTGTTCTATTGTTTCGTTTTCTGCGTCTCAAACACCAACCTTGCACTACTTTTTCCTCCCCAAGCACAACTCACGATGACCATTCCACAACCTTGTACCCAAGCTAGTGTGTGAAGGCATTGCAGAATCGACGTAACTGCAGAATTGTGTCAATTAATTGTGTCGTTGAATTCTTCACTGTCCTTTTTTCACCTGTTTCTAGGGAGGAGTAGGCCCTTGATTTTGTTGGAACAGAAAAAACGGTGATTATTCTCCATAAGAATCTTAAAACCAGATGAAATATCGGAGACATTCTATCATAAAGTTGTCACCTTAGTCAGTAAGCTCTCAAAAACATAGGGACCCTTAAAACGTGACACTAACGAAATTGAAGTGATCTGCTGTATTTGATGCAATAGCGCCAAAAAAAAAAAGATCATGAATGCAGCTCATGTTTTCAAAGTGCTTCGGCCTTTTGAGAGAGAGCTATAAGCTGCATCTGGTGAATTATGATAGCTTCAAAAAAAAAAAAAAAAAGGCTGGTATCTAAGGCTTTAAATATATTCAAGACGAGGTATACCGTATAACCGAATTGGATGGTAGCCTTCCAACTTAGTCACAGAAGTTAAGAAAATAATTGATTAAAAAACTAACTAATAAATTTCAAAGGTGATTAGATATGATTTGGGCCGACCTAGCCTTGTGGCCCACCCCAGCAATTCCGTCTAAGACTGAAATTCAATCCTTCATTAATTATTATCCATTATGCGTCCTTTTAAGTTATGAGCAATTCCCGTACCCCCACCCTTTTCTTTTTTAGAGTTTGAGCCAGCTTTCTATGGCAAGTGTAATTATTTTTTTCTCTGCCTCTCTTTATTTTTTCTGTGATAATAGGATTTTTTGAATTGCTTTTGGGTGGGTGGATGAATTTTTGAAACATTTTTTTTTTATGACGACTATGGTCGAAGGCGAATTTTCCAGAGTCGATAATTGACCCGCCTTGAAAATATCTGAAACGCGTGGCTGAAGTTGATTCTTCATTTCGTTGCATCTCTTTTCCCACAGAAATCCGTTTATTTAGTCTTGTCTGGGTTGGTTGGTGGAATGGTGGGGACCAATAATCCAAGCTCCTTTTTTTTTTTTTTTTTTAGATTTTGTCAAATTATGTGCCTGCAAATACTTCCCCGCGGAATCCAAATGCACACTATTGGTGAAGGGGATCCATTCCTGGGGGATTGGAATAATCTTTTTAGGCTAAGAAGAGCCACGTGTGAAGTGAATCAAAATTTAAACATACGTGTGATCTCTAATTTAATTATATTCTCAAATAATTGATTATGATGTGTACGTGGGATTTTTCTTTGATGATCTTATCCACGTTAGGCTATTATTATTTTTAAATTGACGCAGATTTGTGAAAATGAAGCCACTGAAAGCCACACTTGATGGCAAATTGCAACAGCGATGACGAGTGAAATTCAACATTTAAACCGACAAAGAGAGAATAATTTAAACATATACATCAGTGAAAATGAAGCCTTCATAGTTGTTGTCGTTGATATGAAACCATCCAATCAATGAAGAGATTGGTGGGTCACTAGAAAATGTAATCGCAGAAGGTTGGGGTTCTTTTCCTTCTTGAGCGAAAAGGAAATTGATGGGATTGAATTGCAAGTTCCAAATAAAAAATTATCTGGATGAATCATTCTAAAGACGCCGTTCATTTTAATAACCGTCTAAATTTAAAGAAAAGTATAAATTTTAGTTTCTTGATTTGGTTCATGAAATTTGATCAGAACATTCCAATCTTTTATATATTATAGATTAAAATATATATTTAATTATTTAACTTTACACAACGTTTTATTTTATTCTTTTAATTTTATAAAAGTATATTTTTAATTTTTTAACTCTAACATCATTAGCCTAATAAATTTTTACATTAAATTTTTAAATATTAACAAAACACTTTCAAATATTAATATATTAAAATTATTTTTTTAAATAATAATGATTGATAAAAAAATTTAAAACTAATAATATTAGGGTTAATATATTAAAAAAATATTTTATAAAATTAAAGAATTAAATTAAAAATTTATATGAAGTTAGAGGATTAAAAGCATACTTTAGTCAACATAATAAAATATCTTGATTTAGAATAATTTAATTCTTAATTCTTATAATTTTTAAATTCATTACAAACTAATTTCTATAATTCCTTAATTCAATAAATTACGAGAATTAGATTGTATTAAGTTAAAGCTCAAACATTATAATAAATTAATATTCTTTTTAACTCAAATTATACGACACTTTCAGACAAATTTTACGTATTAATAAATTTCATTAAATACACTTAATTTTTTTTAAAAAAATAAATTTTTAAAAATATTTTTTATTTAATATATTGAAGAGAGGGAGAGAGAAGGTAATATTTGAATAAGCCTGTTTAATAAAATCTTAATTTTATCAAAATATATTATATTTTAAGATACCAAATATTTTTTAAAAATATCTTATAATTTGAGATAAAGGGATTGAGAGAAATTTTAAGGAGTAAAAATTATATTATCGCTAAATTTAATATATTAAAGGTAGAGAGGATATAATTTTTATCTGAGTTATTATTTTGTTTTAATTTTACTCGTCGATTTCTTATGGAATCAAAAGTCCCTTCGCTAGAAAATAATCGCATCAACCTGTAACTTTCCATATTATTGATGGACCGCGTTAGTGGCTGAACCTTCCCGCTATGGCTGTTTCTCAATGTCTCATTCATACATGTCGGCAGTGGCTTGATACGACATTTATCAGATAATTTATGCAGTGTGTTCTTTGCTGTAAATGGTTAGTTAATTTATAAAGATATAAACTGGCAAAAAATTTACAAAGATATAAAAATATACATATACACAATAATTCGAGAAGATTTTCAGGTTTAAAAAGACATCGAGAAGACAGGAAATAATAAGAACGAAAAGGTCAACTCTTTTGAGTCGAGAATCAGCATGATTAGATCGTCTAGACAAGTGTTTGATTTTTGTTTTTTTTTTATTTTGAAGAACAAAAAAAAACTGTCTTCAGAGGAGTTGCCAAAAAACCCCTTAACTTTTGGTATACTCAAGTAATAAATTAACAAACCTAGTAGACCAATGCTCGGAACAAAGAAGACGTCCAATTAACAAAGAAATGTATGGAATTATGAACGGTAGTTGAGTCTGAAAAGTAGAAAGAAATTCTTGAGGCCACGCGTCAATATAGATAATTATTTTTATTGTTATTTTTATTTTGAGTTTAATTTTCTTTACACAAGGATATCATGAGTCAGGGAAGAGACGATGCAACAGTGGCTGTGTTTCATAGACCCCGGGAGGACAGCAACATGACCACAGTTATTAAATTATAAAAAGTGCGGCTGTTTTTATTCCTTTCTTTTTTTTTTTTTTTTCCCGATGTGCATGTAAAGTCGCTTTGATAGGAGCATGATTATCACGGTTACTATATTCAGGGGGGAAAAAAACAAGTTTATAAGCTGAGAACGATAGCAAGAGAAGGGCAGGTTCCTTCATTGTCAGCCTGTCGTTTTTTTTTTTTTAAATTGTTTTAGCAACAAGAGATCATTTTCTCTTATTTTCGTCTGCGTATGCATGCATCAATAAACAGGGCGAGAAAGGTTTTTGATGAATGTTGTCAAAAGCTGTTCTTGTTGTCTTAATTGGTTGGAGATATTTAGTCCATGTCGTTCTACATATCTTTAGAAACCAGAAACTATACACGTGACTATGTGAGTCGCCTCTGTATTTAGCACCCATTTTAATTTGTTAATTTAATTTAAGTTGACAAAATGTAGAGTTCAGAGATTTATTAATCATAGCAGCTGAATGAATAAATGAAGCGTTGACCGTGTCAATTCTATTTAAAAAATACTAATGATTTCAGTCTAAGTGAAGCTCCTGCGGCATAAGAGAGATGATTAACATGCTTGCGAGTGGTGTATCTGCTCCTTTCTTCTTGAAAAAATGATAGGTTGGGGATAAAATTTTGATAAGAATTGAAGGAGAGGGAAAGCCATGTATAGCTGGCCTCGCGGTTTTTCACTTTTTTGAGACCATCCTTTGTCTTCTCACGTCTCTCTTGCTTTCAACAATTTAGGACCATACACTGCTTCTCAAAGTCCCAATTTATCCCCTGGCGTTGGTTTTGGTCCCATCCGCCATCATTATAATCCATTACACGTTTTAAGAAGAGTTCCATTTGAGCCTAAAATATTAAATATCATACACTGCATCAAATTATTTTTTTTTTAAAAGCTATTCATTATTACTGTTAGATTATTTAAATAGAAGTGAATATAAGACGATATGAGAAATTTTATATTAAATAAAATTAATTTTAATAGTTAATATAAAAATTAAAAAAATGTTTTTACATTTCATCTCTCTTCTATTTTTGGGCAATCATTTCCCATGCTTGCTTAATTTTAATTTTAATAGAAAGATTTGATAGGCTTTTTTAATTATATATGAATTTGTCTTATATAGCATATTGTATGGATCTCCCACCAGCAACCCCCCTCCATCTACTATGTCTTGTAAGTTGTAACATGTGCGCATCTCATGCTCCCATAAAATGAGAGATTTGCTATCATTGCTGACAAATTAATCTGAAGTTTAAAATCAGTCCTCACCAGGTGCCGTTTTAAAAAAATGAAAAAAAAAAAAAACGTTACAGGTTGCTATAGCCACATTCTTGCACGACAATCTGCAATTCAATAACCATGGCTTATCTGTGCAATTTTTTCCCCTTTTCCCGATATCTAAAATCACTGGTCTCTTATCCTCCTTTAACAAATCAATATAGTTGTATGTTGCATATGGTATGAAACATCCACAAGCTAACTATTTATAACCCATTTCTCGAACTCTTGCCCAGAGCGTGTGGACCCACCGTGACAATTATGTGTTTTTAAATTGAAAAAACATACTCTCTCCGTTTAAGAATATAAGACATTTTAAATTAAATTTTACTCTCAATAAAATAATTATTTATTTTTTAATTAATCTTATCTTTTCATATTTACTTCTATTAAATACTCTACAATAAATATAAAATCATTATTAACAGGAATACTTAAAAAAAAGGTAATGATTATACTTTAAAAGATTAAAAATATTTTATATTTTTAAATATTCAACTCTTTAAAAAATACTTTATATTTTTAAATGGAGAGAGTAATCTTTAATTTTTATAGTTTCATTCAATTTTATTTTTAATCTCTGTAATTTTTTAAATATTTTTAGTCCTATAATTTTATAAAAATTAGGTGATATTTGTTTTTTAAATTCTTATAATTTTTATGTTTTCAATGGTTTTAATCCCTATAATAACTGAAAACATTAAAAAAATTATACGAACTAAAAATAAAATTTAATAGAATTATAGGAATTAAAAATTGTGTTTTCCGCCTCAAATTTTCAATTCTTGGTTTGACTAAAAGTAGGAGAAGATTCATCCCAATAACAGTAATTGGCTGATTGCTGTGACATTTCTTCTCTGGATTTAATCTAGTTAGTCCTGGGAGCACAAAATATATTCTAATAGATTGTTTGAAAAAAATTAATCACCTAGACCTTATAATTTTAACTTAATTATAAACTAATCTCTAATTTTAATTTAATACAACTTAGTTTTTATGGTTTTTTTTCTATTTAAAACATTGATCTTTGAACTTCAAAGAATAACTTTATTAATTCTTATATTTTTTTCTAAAATATAGGTATCAACATTTTAAATAATTAAAATTATATGGACTGAATTACGTTAATTAAGGATTTAGGGATTGAATTACAATTAAATCAACATCACAGAAATTGAGTTACTTTTAATTAAAGTTTAAAAATCAAATTATAAAAAAGTCAAAATTATAGAAACTTTTCTTCAAATTATTTTACACGCACTACATAAATTAGTCCCAACTAGTCCCAACATCATTAAACTAAGCTGTACCATCATGACACAGTCAAGTGTTGACAATGTAACATGCACGAGTTTGATGGACATGCACAAATCAGAGATGATAATATAAAGTAAAAAAAATAATATATATAAATCAATATTTAGAAAAAAAAATGGAAATCATTGATTAAAACTTAAAAGCATGATGTGAAAATTTAAATCAACCTATCAAATTCAACTTTTAAACTAGTATTTTAACTGATTTAATGACAATTATGATTAGTTTAACTATGGTTCTGCAATGTTCTTAACTATCAACTCTTGTATCTTAATTAGTTGACTAACCACTTTGGTTTTTAGATTAAAAGTTCAGACATTAGCAAGAGAATGGGGTGAGATAGAAAGGAGGAAATTGGAGAGTATACATAAGACAAAAGGGGAGGGATGGAAAATTCGCGAGTACAGGAAGTGTAATGGTGGGACTGGTATGCGTGAATCTGTGGGTGAGCCCGTGAGGTGGGAAAGCAAAACAATGGGCTTTCTTATCCTTACAGAATCAGATCCACGTCATCCTCTTTACACTCATCTCTTTCCCACCAAGTTTTCACGATCCAGATCTCACTGCACTGGGATGCTCTTCACTGCGATGAGCTGAAATCTTGCCTTCCTTCTCGGGATTCCTTTCCCGTCCTTGCTTGAATTCAAATTTCCACTGCCTCACTGTTCCTTCATGACTACCTCCATGTAATTGATTATTCGAAGGGATCTCACATCCATGGATCCATGAATGCACATATGGGCCAAAAAATATGTGCAGATACAGACACATACTATATATTATAATGTAGTATAATTATGCATTATACATTCAGCCAAAAATGTTCATGAGATTCCTCCAGACTCCATAGAGTAATAGATGACCAAACTAACCATCTGATCATGGCAAGTCCTTTTTATCAATGATTAATTCTTGATGCGTGTTTTTTTTGTTATTTTTTACAAAAATAATCAATATTGTATTTTTTTTCTATCAAGATAAAATCAGACTATCAAGATGTGACAGTAAACATAAAAACAAGGTAAAATTCATAGATTATGTTGAAATTAATTAAAACCAGGGGGATAAATTCAATTAAAAGTTAAAACAAACTGGTCATATATCAAATAAGATAACAATGCAAGCTTTTTTCTTTATTTAAAATACTTATTTTCATATGATTGACTGGAATCTACCATCAAACCTTTCTCAAGTTTTGCCCAACCTGGACCCAAAGAGATGTGGAATGCTACCAATACTTATCACAACAACATTTGACTATCGTTTGCATTGTTGTCATTAATGCGGCTGTTTATTGTGCTCTATAATCGTTCCGGCTAGATATTACACTGTATGTCCATTTGTTCATGGCTTTTTTATGATTCCTAGAAAATCGTAGGTTTCTTCAGAGGAGAGAGGAAAACCTTTCTCATATTGATGGCGATTATAATCAAATAAAAGACAAGTCAAATCTTCTTTCAAGGAAGGGAGTGAAGCTCGAACACGGCAAAAATAAAACAAATAGGCAATGAGTAGCTGAAAATAATGGAAGAAAACAAATGAGCGGTGGGAAATGGATGATGTCATGTTAGATCTTAATATAAAATTTTTATACTTAAGTTTATATAGGTTATTTGATTTGAGGATTAAGAGTTATTCTTGCTCGTCAATTATGCCTTGAAGGTCATTGTCACTCTAAACTTAATTATAAAGTAATTATGTCTTTTAATGTTAAGTATTATTTCTCTCATAACCCTAACATCAATAATGCATGCCGTTGTTTATTATCAATAGGTTCTATTATTTTTTAATACATATTTATTATTACTTCATTGGGTTAAGGGTATTTTTCCTATCAATTTTTACTCAAAGGTTAGTAAGCACATCTAACTCAAATAATTCATAAGATTAAGTATTATTCTTACTTCTCAACTTTGTTTGAAGAGTCAATGAATACCTTAAACTTAAATAAGAGTTCATTGTATCCCTCGTTGTTAGAAATTCTCTCTCTTAATACCCTTCATATTAATAATGCTTAACATCATTTGTCATTAGTGGATCCTAGTATTTTTATTTTTATTATTTTTTATCAAGTAAAAGTTATTTTTGCATTAGCTTTACTTGAAAGGTCAACAGACACCTTAAACTCAAATAAAAATTTATTATGTCTCTTAACATTATATATTCTCTCTCTTGACACCCTAATGTTAACTTACTATGTCTTTACTATTAGTTGTTCCACATTATATATTTTTAATAATTTTTATTATAAAATATTAGATTGAGTACCTTTTTAATTTTTTAACTTTTATTTGAAGTGTAAATACACACTTTAAATTTAAATATTTTATAATAAAAATATTAAAAAATTTAACATAATTGCACTAATAGTAAAAATTTAATAAAAAAAATCAGAGAGTGATACGGGAGAGTATACTTATTATCAAGGGACAGAATTGAACTTACCGAAGTTCACTTTGACCATTTTCATATCTTTCTTTATTTCTTTCCTTTCCTTTTGTTTTTGTTTTTTTAAATCCCAGGTAAGAAATATCAAACGCCGGGCATACGCGTTGGCCGTTGGGGTAATTGAGAACTGAGGTGTGACTCTACACAAGAAAGGCTGAATCCTTCCACAGCCGATTGTGAACTGTTCCGAGACGGACGGTGATGATGCCGCGGCACATAATCATGAACGTCGACACCGTAGGGCCCACCCCCATCTACTGTGTCTTTTCACCCTCTTTCCCAAAACACCACCTTCGCTCCCTGTGGGTCCCAGCTGCAACTCGCCATCTCATTCTCGTCCCTCGCCTGTCCGAAATTGTAATTTTCGTTAATGTTGGGGCCAAATATGGTAGCCTCACATTCATATCGCGCAATTACTAATATGTCCTCGTCGCCTTCATCTATATAAGAAAACGCCATGCTCCTCAGTCGTCCCCATTCTCAGCTCTGAACCTTTCTGGGAAGACCTGGGGATCTGTTTTTTACACCCTTGCGGGAGAGAGTTCTTGTTCGTCCTTTTAGTTGGTGAGAAGATGCTGGGTGTCTTCAGCAGCTCCATCATTTCGCCGCCCGACGAGCTCGTTGCCGCCGGCAGTCGCACGCCGTCACCCAAAATCACGGCGGCCGCACTTTTGAACCGGTTCGCCCAGAGCAACGCATCTACCGTCTCTGTGCAAATCGGAGATCACGCCCAGCTGGCTTTCTCTCACCACAACGAGTCACCGTGGCACCCCAGGTAACGTCAGCTTCCTAGTCGCAGTAGCTAGAAACCTGAGTCGCCCAAGCGACGTCGTTTGGTCGGTCGTTCTTATGATGCTTTCTCAGTAGGTGGAAATGTTTTTCTGCTCGTTGTCGTGAAAAAGGATAAACCGGTTTTGATTAAACTAGGAGTAGAGTTATTCCTAATCCAGAAATTCCGCAGTAGCTAGAAACCTGAGTCGCCCAAGCGACGTCGTTTGGTCGGTCGTTCTTATGATGCTTTCTCAGTAGGTGGAAATGTTTTTCTGCTCGTTGCTTATAAAACGTGAAAAAGGATAAACCGGTTTTGATTAAACTAGGAGTAGAGTTATTCCTAATCCAGAAATTCCTGATAGGAACATAAGAGGAGAGAGAACGTCTGATCGGTGATATAGGCAGTGGTGGCTGGAGAATCGGACGGTTGGTGGTGATTTTTTTTTTCCGGCCTTTGATTCGAATGATGATCGATGACTAATCACTGATCATGAATGCTCATGCGCCGTTTTCGTATACTCGTCAGTTCTGTTTCATTTCGAAATTCATAATTCATATTCATAATTTAATAAGAGATTTTCCATACTTTCGAAATTTTCTAGGCAACAAATTAGCTTGAAGGCTAAGCGATGGTCCATGAATGAGTTCATTGCGAGTGATTCGGAAAGGTGTGGAAATTACCCTCTTAAAATTCAGGGATGGGATTGGATAAATTTTTTCCTTTTTGGGGGTGGGGAGATGATTGGGTTTTTTTGGGATTCTGGCGTGAATGATACGTCGTCGTATTACCGAAAGAAAAATGTAATAATAGTGATTTAGGAAGAGAGAGGATAGAGTGTTTACAGCCCACATGGTGATCGTGTGCATTGAGCGACGCATGTGGCAGATTATGGACGCAAGTCCACGCAGTTCCATCAACGGTTGAATGCTGGTTGACGGGGGAGAGGGGTCTCTCCTCTTTTTTACTCCTCCTCCTCCTCCTCCTCTTTCAATTTCTCAATTTTAACTATTCATTAATTTTATAATAAAAAATTATTTAATAAAATAATGTAAATGGCGAAGATTAGGAAAGTCACCTGAAGACAAGTCTGCCCCGACTCCTTTCACGAAATGGGACCCGCTGGTATAGTAGTAGACATGAAGAGTCTCAAGTCCTTTGTTACTATTGTTATCATCGAAGTGAATGATGTTTGTCTTTTGTCATGTTTCTTTTTCGGATCGGAGATCAGGGGCCACTGGCCCGTTTGCTTGCAATTATTAGGCTTTGCTCCGCCCCATTCCACTCCATTTTGTTGACTTCCATAGTTCCATTCCTGGGCTCACCTGTTGTTTTCCATATATATATCTTTGTTGCTTTTGAGGCGAGGAGGCTGAATGAGGATAAGGATTGCGTCGACTAGGTTGGCCAGAACTCAGAACTACCTTAACAGGGGGAAGCTTAGATAGGCCTATTTGACAATATTGAATATTTTTATTTTTATTTGTTCCCTTTCCACTAATTTAGTTCTCATTTTTTTTTACTAAAAAGATTGGAATGAAAAAATAAAAAATGAACTAAATCACCTTTTTCTCCCCACAATCAGTAAACATAATAAAATTTATTAATATATTTTTTTTATTTTAAATTATAAATATTTTTTCCTAACTTATCTTGGTTCAAAATATAAGAAACTTGATAGGTTTTTTTTTTTTTTCCTATTTTATCTTTGTATTCATTAACTTAGTTTGTTGTGGAGCATTTATTATATTTTTCTCATTTTTCATGATAGTTAAAACTTTATTATTCTACAAGGAGAATCACACTTTCTCATATTATAATATTTCCTTCGTGTTTATATATAAGAAAAAAAATTGTATTACATAGTTTAAAAAAATTAGTTAACCATAATAATTATGTCTCAAGATAAAAAAAATAAACTAACATACTTATGTTAATCAACATAAGCATTATTAATTATTTTTTATTAATGTAAATTATGAGAGGTGATTTAGAAAATGTGTAATAAATATTTATTGAAATAGGTGATTTTGCTTATATAAAAAAATAAGTAAAAAGTGGTAGTTTTTTCTATGAATAAAAATGGAGGAAGTATTTCATTAAAAAAATATTTCTCTCTCATTTAATTTATTATTGACAAGTGGTGGAAAGAGCAAAAAAGAAAACTTTTAATATTTTTAATTGAAAATAAGGATATAACTGAATTTTATTGATATTCAAATTATAGTTAAAAATATCTTATATTTTAGATCAGAGGGAGTATATTACAAATGTAAGAATTATCACCTTCTCTACAAATTTCACAAATCATTATTTTCAATATCATGAATTAAATTATTTTTTTTTTTATAAAACATTGTTCATTGTTTCTTTTGATCATCTCATTTTTACTTTTATTTTTTTATTCATGTTATTTTATTTCTTTTTAGTAACTAAATGGAACTTTAATTTCATTAATGTCAGTGGGTCCCTTGGCGTGAGTGAGCGTTAAAATAGGAGGAGGTAATAATTTTACTTCATAGTCGGCAATGTCGTGGATTGGCTTCATGCTAAAAATCTACACCGCTTCCTCGAGCGTCCTAAACAAATGGCTTATTTAATTGGTTCTCTTGCTCAATGGGTAGGCACGTCCATCTTTCAATACGTAGAGCGACAATACTTTTACCTTGTGCTTGAGTCAAAATGAGTCCGGTCAGAACATTGGAAGAGGAAGCAAAAAAGGGAGTGACCTTGGGCATGCTTGTGTTTCATGCATTAATTGTTGTCGGTCGATGTAATAACTGCAACAATCTGAGATATATGAAGTGTTTGTTCGTGGGAATGAATTACCCCATTGCCATTATGACATTATCGGTTAACTAGACATCATGTTATATCTAAATACTGAGTTGGAAATGGCAGATCGTTTGCTGTGAAGGACGAGGTGTTCTGTTTGTTCGAAGGAGCTCTTGATAATTTAGGCAGCTTGAGGCAACAATATGGACTCGCCAAGTCTGCCAATGAAGTGCTTTTGGTAATCGAGGCTTACAAAGCCTTGCGTGATCGAGCGCCCTACCCTGCCAATCACGTTGTTGGCCATCTCAGCGGAGGCTTCGCTTTCATAGTTTTCGACAAGTCCACTTCTACTCTCTTTGTGGCTTCTGTAAGCAATCCAAACACATTAATTTCTCTGATGATCTACCTCCATAGGCTTCACTTCGTCACTGAAAACAATCTGCCTGCATGGACTTTGACAGGACCAATATGGTAAGGTTCCTCTGTATTGGGGAATAACGGCTGATGGATATGTGGCATTTGCTGATGATGCAGAATTGCTCAAAGGCGCTTGTGGCAAGTCCCTTGCTTCTTTCCCTCAAGGTGGGTTTGCTTGTAATTCTATCCCATGATCCATTTTTCCCCTCCCCTTGTCCTCAAAGTAAACGTTAATTTCTTTCTCATTGTTGACGTTGCTTGGACCATATTGTACAGGATGTTATTACTCCACAACGGCTGGAGGGTTAAGATGCTATGAGAATCCCAAGAATAAGGTGACCGCAGTACCTGCAGATGATGAGGAAATCTGGGGAGCAACCTTCAAGGTAACAGGATGACCTGGGTTTTAAATAAAAATGCTGGTACATTGCTCCACACCATTTGTAGAAACTCTTTATTTTGGCCCGTTCATTCCCATTGAAACCATAACTCGTAGTACTGGTCCAAAGTGACTGCAAGAGGATTATTCCCACACTCCTCCTTCCCAAAAAGGAGGCCAATTTCCTCCTTAATGTTGGTGTTTCATACTGCTAATTTACCTCGAGCTTGATTTAGCTCCAAAGCGGTTGGGAAATCAAGTTTTGGGTAGGTGGTTCTAGGTGGGGCAGTTCAAGAAACCACCAAATATGTAAGGAAAAGGAAAAAGCAAGTCAAGTGATAGAGACTAGGATCAAGAAGGGAAGGCTTTAAGTTTTAACATGCTCACCAACTTTTATGGCAATTTTATTTGCAATTTTTTAATCCTCTTGCTTAGAGTGGCATGGCACCGAACTTTTAGCTTGTGGTTGCTTGATCCTTGAAATAAGTGGTTTCTAATCTGTGAAGTGGTGAAATGAAATATCAGGTGGAAGGGCCAGCGGTTGCTGCAGCCAGAGTAGACGAAATCTCGTGGATGGTAAAGTAACTGGGGGTTACTTAACTACGAGGTTACTATATTGGTAGTGGATTAGTTGTGATTGGAGCAATGGGCTTATGTGGTGGTTGTGACTTCAAGGCATGCGTGAGGGTCCCATGTAAATACTTTGTTGAGTTGTAATAACTTTAAGAAAGAATGGGACAAGTAGGCTGGCGTATTCTCCTGAGGGAGTTTGTGTTTTAGATAGGACTTGCTGTGTTTCCATCAATGTACAGTTTGTGCACCCCAACACCAAAAAAAAAAAAAAAAAGTCATGTCCCTAGTTTGAGATTCTATTTTTCCCCCCTAATGCATTCACTGTTGAAAGTCTTTCCCGCTAACAAGGCAACGAATTCTTTATCCCTTGCTTTCTTTATGAGAGGTTGAAACGATAAACTTACTGCCAAATTAGCCACAAAAGAATCTCTCTCGAGAAACTTCAGTTTTTTTCATAAAAATTAGCCAAATTAGAACTTAAAAAAATTAGAAATTTTCGGGTTCAGTACTGCTTCTGTTTTTAAACATTTGTCGCTTTATAGTTGTGCATACAAAATTAAGAATGCTAGACGGCAAATTGTCACGATGTTTTGCTAAAATATCCTTGACGTCGCTGGTTAATTATAGCTTTATTGAAATTCTAACGTGATAATTATTTAAAAATAAAGCTAACATTTTTGAGTGACAATTATTTAAAACAAAATGAGAATTAGTGTATTTTCTTACTTGGAACTAGAAAGTGCGTTTTTTTTGTTCCATACAGCATTTGAGATCAATTTTATTGTTCGTGAGTTTTTGGTCACTGTGAGTCTGTGACTTCCTAAATATAAACACATAGATATAGATTTATAGATTAATTAGTACATTAATTTATACATGTATAATCTAATTATAAGTGCCACAACATTAATTATATCTAGTATTTCTTTCTTTGTATTTGTTAACATGTCAAAGATCTTAGGAAACAATATTAAAAATGCGTTTTCGCTCTGGTAATCTCAATTAACAGGATACGTACATCTACGCCTACACCCTCCGGAAGCTTGTATTTTGGCTTTTAGATTTCACTATTTAAACAAAGACCTTCACGTTCAGTGTTTGGTGCGTCCCTACAATTAAATTGTTTGAGACTTTGAGGAGAGAGAAGAATCACTTCGGTATTCAAAACAATGTTCAGTTTTGACTTTTGATTGGTTACAAACTGCGACCCATTAACTCAACATGGCAAAACATGGATAATTACCTCAAGCATGAATCGAGAAGCTGAATGCCAATCGAGACTCAAATAATAGTTAACCATTGGTCCCCATTTTCTTCAAGCGTCTGTTCCAATCTTTGATTCAAAATATTACACAAGTTATTTTTGGCAAAGAAGACCTTCAACCAAGATGCCAGATAATCAGCAGGTGCAGAGAAGACTTGCTAAATACAGTGTGTCATAAATATCTCTTCATCATAATATAACGTTAAAAGACAATTTATATGAACAGAAAGAGCAAGTGAAAAACAGAGAAACTTGTATTAGAAGAACATGGAAAGGAAGAAAAAAACAATATATTGTTCTACAAGCTGACTTCACAGTGGTTGTTTATGGAAGTGCAGGGCAGAAAACAGCATCAAGTGGCAGGGCAAATATCTTCCAAACTGCAGGAAAGAAAAAAATCATAGCAGGCTCCTTGTATAATGAGAAATTTTTAGGTAGATGTAAGATCAAACTGATTGTAAATGAACATGTTAGCGTGTAAAAAATGGGTCTCATGTAAAATATGAAAAATATATTAATATGTTTACATATTCATTAGTGATTAATGATTAACTTGGTTTTCCATTTTTTTTTTTTTTGGGTAGACCCAGCTAGGTGAGAATTTCTTTGTGAAAGACAGTACCTTTTCCCCAAGCAGTCAATGATGTCACCGGTAACAGTTGATCTCTTATTATTCAAGAAAGCAAGGGAAGCGGCCTTCCTCATCAAAGCAGAGCCAGCAATGCATCCCAAAACTGTTGGATTTTTACAGCTAAAATAATGGCATGATTTAGGATATAACTAACAATAGAAGATAAGCCAACAAAAACAATATTCCTAGTAGAGTTGCATTAAGACATAGAACCTGAGATTTGAGATTTCATCAGTTGTTTGAACATGCTGGCGAGCCCATGATAAAAAGACAGCAACACTGGACCAATAAAAACATTTTCTTTTATGCCAAAAATTCCAAAATTCAAACGGAACAAGTTTAATAATTATGATATTTTCAGTATTTAGTTTGCTCGATAGTCACTACAAGATCTATCTCTTACGGCTACAATGCAGAAACTAAGTACTACGCATGGCACCAGAAAAGCAGGGTTCAGGTCAGCATATTGGCAAAATCTTAACAAACAAACTGTTTCCTACAACTCAATTGAATTGTTGGCGGGACCCAAGAAGCCACGATTTTTTAAAAGTGTGCTATCAACTATCAAGAAAGAACCACTCTTAAGCATCACCTTAAGCACCTCATACTACTTACTCCTTATTGCTGGTCCAACTCAAAACAAGCTAACAACACAATGGTTGTGTTTTTTTTTACTTTACTTTATGCACTACAAGAAAAAGATAGAATCAGAATGAGATATGAAAGGAAAGGCAGTAAGAGTTATACTTGCCTCCCAGAAAGGATATCACCCTGGCCACCGCAGCGTCTAGGAGAACCATAGATGCTCACTGATTTAACTGTATGGGAAAAAACTACAATTTATTGATCTTCTAACATCTGTCAAGCCATGATATAGGTGCCTTGCACAAACATATATATATATATATATATATAAAATCTCAAGCCACTGGCAACTGTAACATGGTGTGCCGAGGCAAGAACATGACTTTCTTGATTGGGTATTTGAAATAATTTTTAAGAGCATAATGAATGATATGACATATGCACATTAAACTTGGATATTATATCTTAATCTTGACCTGAGAAGAAGAGACACAGAACAAGACTGTGTTATATTCATTACCTGTGTCACCATCACTTATAAGATCAGATTTTCCTTTCCTTAGGATAGTAACACCACCAATCCTGCCCAAGAACAATGCAAAATATGTAGGTTTCTTGAAACTAGTGCATTCAATTCACTGATAATAGCAAGACATCACCAACGTGTGTAGAGAACTCCCAAGCATGCTCTAATGCTTGTATTGCTAAAAGATGTTAATTTTCTTTCAGCAACACATATCAAGGATAATGATCTGCTCTCATCGTAATGTATATGATATGAACCAGTATAGATTTCTAGCAAATCACGGTGCCAGGAAAGGAGGAACTTACTGTTTGGAGAGAGACAGCAATTGCTGAGTACCATTTAGATCATTTACTTCAGAACTTAGAATCTTCTGAACAAGACGCTTGTACTCATTGACATTTGGGGTTAGAACAGCTAAGGCATAGCCACTAACAAGATCAATGCTATTTGTAACAAGGAAAAGTCCGTCCTGCAAAACAATTCACATATGTCAATCAGATTATGAACAAGACATGTAAACAGCAACATGCATATGGTAATCAGATCATGCATGAGGTGCCTTAAATCTCAATATATTACCCCATCTACAACGATTGGGATGTTTGACTGTCTTGCATGTCTCATGATTTCACTCACACAGGCCTGACACAAATTGTGCAAATGTCAGAGCTGAGAATCAGATATGACAAATGAATATCAAAAGCTAGCACTTGAAGTCAATGATTAAATAAGTTCTCCCAAAGCGTGCACAAAATGAGATCCAGTGAAGTATTTCAACAACGCATACCAGAAGAAATGGGTCTCTTCCAAGGCCTGGACCAACAACAAGACAGTCAAATCTTTCCATCCACTTGCCAACCTCAGCTAGAACCTTGTTTGATACAGATTCCTTGTCCTCGTTTCTGAGATTAGTCTCCAAAAAAATTGACATCCAAAACGAAATGAATCATGCAAACTGGAACACAAAGATAATCCAGAGAGTACACCTGACACTGTAAGATTCTTCTAAAATAGGGTGCACAATCAACTCAGGACTATAGCTTTTTATGACAGGAGCAGCATCTTTTGTACAAAAAACATGGGACAGATCTGCACCCTGCAAGAAGGGAAAATAGCTGAATGCAGATGACCAGAGAAGAAGGGTATCATTTTGAGCCATAAAATTTAACTGAACCAGGTTGAAAATGCAATATCAAAGGAAAAGAACTAAAAACAGATAGAGTTGTGGAAACTAACAATCTTTAAGGCTGAAATTGCAGCAAAATAAGGAGCTCCTGTGTATTCACGACACCCTCCAATCACAGCTATCTTTCCTAATTGGTAATAAAAAATCAGTGAAAGAATAATTAGAAATTTCTTGATTTTCTTTGGGCAAAGAGAAAAGGAATGGGCTTTCAAAGCTGAGCCATCTTTCTAGTTATAAATAGGGCAATCTAGCTTCTGAAGCCTGTCCTTTAAATTAATTATTGCCTCTTTGAAACTTAACACAACTCAGCTCAACCCTAGTCCCCTTATTACAAGAAAAAAAGGGAGAGAAAATTAAAAGACAGAATCTTGACATGGCAACAGTGGCATAGTTTGCAATAATGCTAAAAGAATTTTATTCCATAGCTTCTCTTGGCATGGCAACAGTGGCATATTTTGCAATAATGCTAAAAGAATTTTATTCCATGGCTTCTCCTTAGAGAGGAAAAACCAATAAGACAACCATCATCTTTATGGTTGCAGTCTTGCAGAAATGAACTAGCTCACATGTAAAATAGGCAAGTAGCAAAGGGAAGTGATGAAAGGAACGCAAATATTTTTTTTTTTTTTTTTGGTTCAGATTGTGAAAAATTAGTAGAATGTTACTCATACCTGCTTGGCCTTTATATCTTGTGGGATCAAGAGCAGGAGTAATTGCTCTTACAATGCTCTCAGCATCAGCTTCAATATAACTTGGGAGTTGCATTTTTCTAAAATCAGTTGAATGACCACTAGCACCTCCCAGAGATCTTATCAGGAATTGTTGTGTTCTGTAAACAGGCGAAGAAGCCAACATAAAACTTCTTGCACAATCCAAGAAGGCTACCTGAGAAGTCATGCCATGTTTGATAAACATGACCAAAAGACAGCCCCTATCACAATCCAAGCAAGAGTACTATTTAACCCTCGAGAATAGACAAGTTAAAAATTCTATTATGAAAAGCAGAAAGAGCAGACAAAAGTTAAATTTCACTTCTACATAAACAAGACTTCAAAAGCTAAAGGAAAGAATAACAAATCCAACCAGTAGCAGTCCAGGAGATTGTTTCATTTGGCGAATACCGATACCTGTTCACCCATTTGTCCCGAAAGGGGTGGAAAACGGTATTGTATGTTTATTTAAGAATGATTCAGACTTTGAAAGATAACAAACCGCTCGGTCTTGGTGAAAAACTGATTCTATAATCAAATAAGTCTACCCGGACAATACAGTTCAATTGAATTCCAGTAAGAGTATCACGAGGTATAGCGCTGAATTCTTCAATCATCAAAGCTATATATATATATATATAAACACTCAAAATAACAGGTTATATGAGCCAGGGGAAAAACGCAAATGATTGCTTTAATACCTGAAAATAATCAAAAATTTTAAACCGAAATCCGAAAAGCTTTTCAACACCGTAGGGTCAATGTTTCGAGCCCACTGTTCCGAGAATCAGAGAGGTTCGGTGGTTTTCCTCAGAATTCAGTAGGGCGTGAGAAATTACTGAACAGTCCCACGGAATTCATTTCCGTGCAGGCCACTTGTAATTTTAATGTCTTGAATTGTGATTTGCTTAAATGGTAACTTCTCTTCTTTTCACTTTGTCTTTGATTTTTTTTAATTTTACTTTTTATTGATCTGATTATTTATGTTTGCTTCAATTATCAATTAAATTTTTATTATTTAAAAAAAGACATAATAGTAAGGGTGCACAAAGATCAAGCAAGACTGGGTTAATTCTCAATTGGCGCCCGGTCTTATATATTGATTTGTCTTATATTTGCCCCCAATCCAGCTAGTCGTCCATCATTCTGTGCTTCCGAGTAATGAAATAGGAGTGCTATTTAGTATTCAATAGTTCAATCCAAACACTAAGGTTAGATATTCAATGGATTATAAAGCTGAAACATTTTACACAAATTCAGTCCAATTCGATGCCATCCATTCATTCATGGCAAGTTTGATTGAAAGATACTTAAAATTTAAAGTGACCTCTATGTCACAATGAGATGCTGTGAAAATGATAAGAGTTATTTTTAACTTAATTTTTATCAATTCAATTGTTAAAGTTTGTATTATTTATTGGTTTGGTCCGAAGCATTGTTAAAATCTATTAACATAACAACCAAAAGTCATAAACACGAATAACTAAATATTAATGACAATCATGCAAATTAATAATAAAAAGAAATATAATTATTTAAATATAAAAATTTAAATTTTATTTAAAAATAAAAAACAAAGCACAGTGTAAAGATTAAATTAATAAAAACTAAGTGGACTTAAAGAATAAATTGTTTTGATTTAGCTACATGTACACATATACATGCCAAATCATTTTATATAAATTAAACAATTGATAACTAAAAATATACTCTCTCCGACTTAAAATATAAGCATATTCTCTTAATTAATTTTTGCTTAAAATATAAGTAACTTAGTATGTGTAGATTTTTTTACCATTTTACCCTTTTATATTTATTAATTTAAATATTTATGTAAGTGTATTTTTCACTCATCATAAAGTGTTTTGATAATTTAAATTAAAAATAAAAATAAAAAATAATATACTGTCTCTACTAAAAAATATAAAATATTTTTTTAAAAATTAAATGTTAAAAAATATAAGACATTTTTAATCTTTTGAGGTATAATCCTCTATTGATAATAACTTTATATTTATTGTAAGATGTTTAATAAGGTTAAATATAAAAAAATAAGATTAGTTTAAAAGTAGATAATTATTTTATTGAGGTAAGATTTAATTAAAAATATTTTATATTTTTAAATAAAATGAGTATATTTTTATAAAAATAAAAATTTTATTAGCATGTGCACTGTTTTTTTTAATTAAAAAAAAAAAACTGTTGGAAGCAGGGGGAGCATACAGGTTTGATTGTCCCAACAATTTAGACTTAAACTAGGGATCTTTTTCTAGCCTCCTCCCAATTCCTCTCGAAGTGAAGGAGAACGGTGAACTGAGAGACACCGAAGGAAGGTGGAAGGTCGATGGCTCCTCCAACGTCTGATATGAAGATGAATGCCATAAGGTCGGGGATTGTGGTGCTGGGCTCCTTGGCTTTTGGCTACTTGAGTATCCAGATCGGATTCAAGTCTTTTCTTGAGAAAGCTCAGCAGCATGATGCCCTCCATCAATCTGGCCCCACGACACCTTCTCAAGAATCTGCTTTCTCTGACTCCGATTCATAGATTAGTACGTCTTCTTTCACATCGGGTCTCTGTGTGGTGTGCGTTAACATAGTTTGTTCGGATAGTGCTTGTGTATAGGTGGACACGTAGCTTACTGTACTCGATCCAAGTCTCTGTATTGAGAGAAAGTAAAGAAGAGCGGGGAGGGAGAGTTCAATATCCTGACTTAAGTTTTTCTACGAGTCTAAGTATAGTGATTACGTTAATTGAGTCAAAGGAAGGTGGCCCTTCTCCATTGGCTCAATTTGCCGTGGAATCCTCAACAGCATTTGTTGATGGAAGCTTATTCGATCTCTTAAGACTAAGAGCATGCTCTGTTGCGTTACTTGTTGAATTTATATTTCAATTGTTATATATCATGTGGAGCTCCAATGAAGATGTCAAATTTTTTGGCCGATAAAATGGAGATGTCATGGTCCTGTTAACTTCCCTTGTTTTCAGAAGGGAAAGAATATTGATTGTTAGACCAAAAAAAAAAAACCTTGTTCTTCTTTCTCTATCCTTGTATTAAATGGAATTAACTGTAGATAGGTTCTTGGTTGGGTGGGGGCTGTGATTGTCCTAGGATTATGCTACTGTTAATCTGAGAAGTCAGTAGTTAACTAGGTAGAGTATCTGTTTGTGTTATCATACCAATTCACATTTATATTCATTATGATAAAATAGCAGGCACAAGATCGTTGATATGAAAAATTTTAAAGGATGATGCCCGAATATAGCAGATATTAGGATTTTAATTCTTGCTGATGAGAAGGTCTTCAACGTCATAGGTGCATGCTTGGTCAATTGAGTTATTGCTCCCAGACACGATTATAGATTCGCTATACAGGGCATATGTAACATAAGTTTCGAGTTGGCCACATTTTTTGGTAGTGTTCTTGCTAGCTCCTTTTCTCTTGGGGGCCTAAAGCACTTATCTGTCCTGAATAAATGAATGCATCATCTCTCTTTTAATTAAGAGTTGAACTAGGAGAAGCTTTTTCTTTTGTATCCATTTCATTTATATTTGTCTCCACATAGGAAGTGTTGCATTGATATGCTGTGTGTTCATCCTTTTTGTTTTTCCTTTGACCCCTCGTCCTCCTCCCCACCTGTGTTTATCATCAATTAATAATACATATTCAAACTAATTTGTGATTGAATTTGTCATCAGTCCTTCGGCTTTATTTATTTGTTTTCCAGAACAGCATATACGGCATAAGTCATAACTTCAGGTGCTAGTTTTTCTGTGAAAATAAGCTAACATTCTAACTACCTAGAATAGTAGTTTTTAAATCCTTGTCAATTTAAATGTGCATTATTCCTTCTTTTCGTTTATGAAATAAGAAATAGTATATGTTGTTGGTTAATCTTTTAGTTCTTGTGGGATATTATCTTGACTTGGTGGCATAGATTGAATCTCATTCTAAAGGTAATACACATAGTAAACTGATTTTTTCCCCAATAAATCTCCTTCCTACGTTAGATGGATCAAAATGAAAAATTGGATTATGAAGTGGTGGTAAATGTTGATGGGAAGACTGGATTTGAAGGAGAAACATAGTTATGCTACTGTAGCTCAAGACGTGTGGATGGTACATGCAATGTACCTTCAGTAGTAATGTTGAAGCAAACAGCGAGCGAAACGCTTTAATGATGAGAGAGGTGCGTATTCAGTGACCAAAGTGTTTGCTGATTCGATGAGGTTGCGTCTTGAACAGAAGACGAAAGATCCGTTTGGTTTCCTTCATTTCACATTCAGAAAATAAAATTTCACTTTCAAAAAATTGAAAGTTGTTGGGGTAAAATATTTTGTAGGAAAGTACATCCTAAAAGTACATTCAAACAGTAGCTGAAAGTGGATTTCTGAAATGTAATTATTTGAAACTTTTGAAAAGTGGATTTGAAAAGTAGGATATTATTTGACCATACCACTCTAAGTTTAATCTCTTATTTTTTATTTAAAAAATAGTTAATTCATTAAAAATATAATTATTATTTTAATAATAATAATTAGGTATCAATTTTTTCAGTATTATAAATTGAGTAATTAATTATGTTAATTTTTATCATTAATGTATAATAAAAATTACAAATCTTTATTACATCTTTTAAAATTACAAATTAAAAAATACAAATATTTAGAGATTAAATTTTTAGCATTATAGATCAAAATTTATATTATTTATAATCTTTATTATATTTTTTAAATATTTTGAATATATTACATTTGTATAATAAAAATTATTAATCATTATAAATTAATGTTCTTTTTGGTAATTGTACATTCAAAAGTATATTTCACTATCACAAATTAAATAATTTTTAATGTATCAAACTGATTTTTAAAAAAATATATTCAAATACAAATTTTATTATAATAATTAATTTTTATTAAATTAATTTTTATTAAATGAGCTTTTGATAAATTGAAAACTAAACGCACATGGAGGCTTACATTTTGCTTGTGGCCATTTGCTAACTATCCATGCCCCTCACCGCCAGCCCGCCAGCCCGCCGCCTAGTAGTAGCTTATGCTAGATTTGCAAGAACTTTTTTTGCTGCAAATCATGCATATGGATTTGAACGTTATTCATATTTACTCTGGCTGACGAGGTTTTTTAGTTCATCATAATTTAAGCCTCAGTTTTGGCTAACTGTATTGTGTAACACTAACTTATCCTAAGCTTGTCTTGCTTCTGTTCTCCATAATTGCGCGCGCGCAAGTTTGTACTGAAGTCAAAAGAATCTGTTTTTGTGTTAGCTTCGAAATCACATTTAATGCAAGTCAAGTTGATCCAAAAGACAACAATTCCAATCCAACTACAGCCTACTCTGTGCTTTTATATGCTCATTCTGTTTTTATATATAAAGTGTTTTTAATTAAATTTTATATACTAATAAAGTTTTATTATTTAATTAAATTCACATAAAAATATAATAAATTTTTTAATTTTACTTTTAATAATATTATAATTAATATTATGATAGTGGTAGAAAAAATATATAATTAATGATCTATTTTATTTTTTAAGATAAGAGTAAAATTATTTAATTACTCATAAATATCATTCACTTTTTATATTTAAAAATAAAAATAACTTTTTAAAACTATCTTATATAT